CTCCTTGCGGTAGCCGACACCACAGGCGCAGGTGCGTGAGGAAACATCATCGGGTATGCAGAGATGCTCGCAACCGCCGTTATTCATTTGACATGGATGCTGCATCATAGGGCGCTTCTTGAAGATGATCATACTCTTAAGATCGGGTTCATTGTCGATTATAACCTTTGGATTATCGCCGCGTGGCAAATCGATGCGTACAATCTTCTCATAGACTGGATCAAGGTAGTATAATCTGGAATCTAGGATGCCCAAGCTTCTGGGTCGCGAAATGGCGTTCTCTTCCGAGAGCAGCATACGGTGATCCTCGCCATGGTAGTCCATAACACAAATGCTTGCCGGATATTGCGTGCTATAGTACACCAATTTCTTCTCGATGTCCAATGCAATACTCACGGGATGATCGATTTCCGATTTCAGTACCATCGGCTTGTTGCCATTCATATTCACGCGTCCAATCTTCACGGGCACACCAAAACCACCTTCATCGATCCAAAATAGTTTACCGTCGTTGGGATCCAGTACGATTTGCTTTGGCTTCGAAACAGACGTTTGATTACCATCGTTTGCGAGTATGATGGTACGATACTTGATTTTACCATCCACACGAACCGCTTCAATATTGCTGGCAATGCGGTTGCCCATGTAGAGATTACGGCCCAACCAGTCAAAGGCGATGGTGTAAGGAGATCCAACAACGCCCGTGTCAGCGCCGAGGAAAAGCGTTTTGTTGCCGCCGCCGTATGGCGTAGAGTATATCGTACAATTCTCATCGTCGTCCTCACGTCCTTGTACCCAGTAAAGGGTTTCACCTTTGCGATCGAAGTCCAAGCCAGTGCTACTCTCAATACCAATAACTGGCGCAAGCGAACCAGCGCGTGCGTCCCCACCGTTCAATGGTATGTCGACAATTTGCGTGCCCTTCACCACAACCAAGAAGGGGTTCTCCTCTTCCACACAACGCCCTTCGCTCATAAGACGGTAACCCGGTCTACATTTGCATGAATAGTTCTCTTTGGCACTGGGACTCAGCAAACAAAGATGATGACAGTTTGATTTCTCGCACGGATTTGGGTACGATGGTTGCAATGAGGGATGGTGTACGTGTATGGAGAGCGGCTGGCTGATCAGATGCGAAACCACTGTCTGATTCTTTCCACGGAATTTGTTAGCCGACAGCACACGGTTCAGCTGACGATCTGTCCAGTAAAGTGTGTCCTCGAACAGTGAAAGCGAATGCGGGTGCAGTAGGTAGTGACTGTTGGACAAAACTTGTTGGCGTCCAGTGCCGTTGTAATAGCAGAAATCAATGAAGTCCAGTTTGGAGTCAGCGAAGTAGACACGCTTCGTAGCAATGTCCAATGTGAGACCGTTGGGCCAGTAAATTTTCGTGTTGATGATCGTTTCGCGCATTGTACCATCCATGCCGATGCGTTCGATGCGTGGATTCTCACCCCAATCGGTCCAGAAGATGAAGCGAGCATCGGGGCTAGGGTCGAGGCACATGCCACGTGGTTGTGTGATATTTTCACGCACCAGCACAAGACGATTTGAGCCATTCTCCGCAGATACTTCAATCGTATTCAATTTGCTGTCCAACCAATAGAGGTTCTTTGCAACCCAATCGTAGGCCAGACCTTCAACCAAGTCCAAACCGGTATTTATTATTTCTTGTGGTTCCTGACCACGATCTAAACGTGAAATCTTCTTCAGTTTCATGTCGCTCCAGAAAATCGTACCTGTGTGCATATTTGAAGCTGTCGCCACCACATTTTCTACAATTATTGGCACGCGTTCCAAGCCTTGTTCTTTTAAATCAGCAACGAGTATGGAATGGCGGTTGGAAATAATTAGGAAAGCTGCAGAGTGATTAACTGCCTTGCAGAAGTGCTTGTTCCGTTCTAGTAGATAGCCATCTGTGCATGAGCAGAAGTAGGAACCCTTTGTGTTGGTACATTGCTGCGAACAGAGTCCAGGTGGATCGCATTCGTTCATGTCGACGCACGTGTAGCCATCTTCGCCAATGTCTGAGCCTGGCGGGCAAACGCAGGTGGCGCCCAAGGGGGTCTTTTGACAACCGTTCGAACAAAGTCCACCCTGGTGTGTACACTCTGCTAAATCGCAACCTTCGCCCTCATCGGCGCCATTCGGACAATCCGGCGTACCATCACATACCGAAGTCATATTCACACAGCGTTCACTAACACCCGGACACTTCCATTGACCGTAAGGGCACTTAAATGCTGGTGGCACACACGCATGCAAAGAACTTTCATCAGAACCATCACCGCAATCATCTTTGCCATCGCAAATGTATGCCTTGAAAACACAGTTGGAGTTGTTACATTTAAAGAAGTTCTGCGCGCAGGTGATCTGGCCACAATCCTCTTCGTCGGACTGATCGGAACAGTCGTTGGAGCCATCGCAATGCCAAGCAATGGGTATGCAGAAACCAGAAGACTTACAGCGGAAGTGTTTTTCCAAATTGCACTGATTCGGTCCCATCGATGGACAGTCCAGTTCGTCACTGCCATCGTTACAGTCTGGTATACCGTCACATTTATAGGACTCCTCGACACATTGCCGCAGATCGGCGCACTTGAATTGGTTCGCCAAACATGTAATCGGCGGACAGTCTTTCTCATCCTGTTTGTCGAAGCAATCGTCATCGCCATCGCAAACCCAGCTCTGTGGAATGCAGTGGCCAGTGCGCGGGCAGGTAAACTGGAAGTAGGCGCAAGTCTTCTCTGCACAGAAATCACCCTCATCAGAGCCATCGCCGCAATCGTTTTCGCTGTCACACTTCCACATATTCGGTATGCAGCGGCCATTGTCGCAGGCGAATTGAGCGGTGCCGCAAGTGACATTGCCGCACTCGAATTCGTCTGAGTTGTCACCGCAGTCATTCTCCTGATCGCAGCGGAAGTTGAGTGGTATGCAACGGCCGGACTTGCATTGAAATTCGTTGGAGCCGCAAGTTGGTTCTGTTACAAAGACAAAGTGTAAAAAAATTACCATTAAATATATTTTATAATTTTTTTTGGGATTTCCAAGTATGTATGTATATCTGATACTTACTTGTGCAATTCTGCTCCTCATCACTGTTGTCCAGGCAGTCGTCATCGCCATCGCATACCCACGATTTTGGTATGCACCGCTGATTATTGCAGGTGAAGTCCCACGAGTTCGGACATGGCTGCACTGGTGGCTCAGCATTGGGATCAGCCATACATGAACGTTGGTCCTCGGCTAGCCGCTCGCCATAGGGGCAAGAGCAGCGTGTTTGCAGTGCTAGCTCTACCGAATCATTTCTAGGTATAGCGAAACAAATTTTCTCACAACCGCCATTGTTTAAATGACAGGGGTGAATGTCGGCGATGGTTTGCACCTCGTGACTGTATACTTTTACGCCATAAAGCCGATTCGTTTGCGGTTCACGTACCATCATTTCCTCTTGTTCGCCGGTGAGCTTGTGCAGACGTATAATGGCATCCAACCGCCAGTCAGTAATGTACATCCATTCGTTGTGTATCACAATAGAAAATGGGTGACGTACCAAACGTGAGTTGACCGTTTTGATGTCAGTACCATCGAGATTAGAGTGCTGCACGTGATCTAATAGCGCATCACACCAGTAAACGCGATCTTCCTTGAAATCGATTGACAGACCATTGGGCCAGCCAAGTGTTACGTTCTTGAAGACAAGCAAGTTTGTGCCATCCGTATTCGCGCGCGTTATGTTCGCAGGGCGGTCCCACTCTGAGAAGAAGATATAGCCGCGATTGGGATGCACAACAATGGCGCGCGGACGCTTGAGATCCTTCAAGAGTGTACGCCGATAAGTAACATTTCGCGTGGATAGCACATTCAACGTGCCTTTACGTGAATCAATGTAGTACAAATTCTTCGCAGCCCAGTCAACAGCCAGCCCTTCGACACCTTCGTTCTGTGAGGCAAGCACAATCTCACGTCCCGTGCCATTGCGGTGCACGCGATAGATCACATCCTGCAGCACGTCCGAGTAGTAGATAAACTCATCGCGCGAATCAAAATCAAGACCAACAAAGCGCGCACGTCTCGAGACCACCGGGAGTATGGCATCGCCGAAGCCCTCAATAACTGGTTCAAGTACTTTTCCTTTTATAAAGCGTTGCTGTGAGTACATAAGAAACTCGCGCACAATTTTACAGTTCTTCAAATCAGTCTGCAGCTGATAGCCCGTATGACAGGCACAACGGTAACCCAAGCCAGTGGGCGCACCCTTGACGGCGGTCACGATGCACATGTGGTTGCATCCACCATTATTGTTGCCGCATGGATTTGAAACGCGCGGTTGGCTCAGCGCATGTACAGCGACAATGCCTTTCGGTTCGCGTATATCCTTCGCCTTGTAGGTTACTTGTATCGAAGTAGGACCGGCGTACTTGTCCACCGACATGATACCTTGCTTTGTGGCGTCTGTCCAGAAGATACGATTTTCAAACAGAGCCAGTCGTGACGGGCTTGGCACTTGTTGGCCACGCAACACCATTATGCGGTGATTACCCTCATAGTTGACAGTCTCAATATAGTCCAGCAACGAGTCGCACCAGTAAACGCGTTTCGCGATGATATCTACCGTAACGCCAGATGCTTTATACGCGGCTTCGGAGACAATTGAACGCGCATGCGTACCATCCATATGCGCGCGCAGCACCTGACCACCGTCGGCGACAAACATCAGACCCGATGTGGGATCTAGCGCCAAATCAGCGGGACTGGTGAGGTTTGAGCCCAACACTACCGCATGCCAATGACCGCTCAATTCGAAAACGTCAATTTTCTGTCCAATCAAGTCAGCCACATAGATCTTGTCGCCCACCCAATCGACGGCCAGCGCGACGGGTGCCCAAGTACCGGGCAGCGTAAGATCTAAGGGGGAGATAGCACCGTTAAATACATCCAATGGTATGGATTGCACCTTGCGTGTCTTAATATCGGACCAATACAGTGTGTTACGTTGATAGTGATAAGCCACACCTGAAGCAGCAGTGGCATTAGCCAGAACACGTGGATCGCTACCATGTGCAGACATGCGCACAACAGCGCGATCATGCGCAAATATTAGCTGTAGATTGTTGGCATCAGGCGCAATACATTTCGAATTATTGATTAAACTGTAACCCTGCGCGCACTGGCAAGTATACGAACCATCGGTGTTGGTGCACAGCTGATCGCAGTGACCCCATTCGGCGCACTCATCCAGATCCATGCAGGTGCGGTTGTCAGCAGCGATGGCCTGCCCACTCGGACAATAGCAAGCGCCACCAGTAAGCGATGGGCCACAGCGATATTCACAGCTGAGCGCGGGACAAGAACCGGTAGCTGCGAGAGAAGAAAAAACATAAAACTTAGAAACAACGACAAAATGTTGGAAGCAGGCGCGCTAAGAGCAATTTTGGCACACTTACAACAGGCGGTCTCCTCGTCGCTGCCATCCTCACAATCACGTTTACCGTCGCAAAGTTGAGATTTCAGTATGCACTTTGGTGTGCCATTCGGGCCGCCGCGCGGACAAAGGAACTTGTTATCAGGACATGCGATTGCCGTGCAATTGGCCTCATCACTTTCATCCGCACAATCGTGATATCCATCACAATAGAAGTTGGATGGAATGCACAAGGCATTCGTGCAACGAAATTGGCCATGATGGCAGGGTGGAAAATCTGTAAGAGAATTGCAAATCGAGGATGAATGCAAAAGAATGATGATAATGCTTGAATGCGAAAGAGTTGAACGAGTTGAATTTTGTTTTGATTGAATGCATCTCAGAAGGAGTAGATGAATTGAAAGGGAAAGATGTGCATGGAAAATAGTAGGAAAAGTGGTTGCGGGGAAGGATGGTACAGACAGTGTTGGATTGCTTGTAGCTGGGGAGTGCGTGTGTGAGAGAGGAGACAGTATGTGAAAATTTTTTGGGTAGATGCATGAAACTCAAAGTAAACAAAAAATTGATGATATGTAGTTGCTAAAACACAACGTGTAGCCGACAAGCTGTTCGAGGCTTAAACATATGGAACGCTTCAAACGTAACGGATGTGTAGGATCAACTTTTTACAGCACATAGCATGGAGAAGTTTTAAACGTTAGTCAATCCGCACTCATGCGATGCAAAATGAATGGATGCCATCGGCAGTTGCACATTTTGAGTGAGTGATGTCCATTCGGCGCCAATAAGAACCTAAGCATGTTTGGCATCCTTTTCTTGAAATAAAATTCAATGAGCCGCCACCTCTTTTGTTTCTCCCTACTCACTTATCTACTAGCCCGTTGAGTAAACGCTTGAAACGCTCCATATGCTTCACATATGTACATACTCGTTCATGCCCCACTTTAGGCACATTGCATGATTTGAAGTGTAAACTGTGCTGGGAATGCCAACAATGATGGTGATGGTGATGTTGATGTTGATTTCACGATTGAATACTTACTGCAGCCCTGTTCATCAGATTTGTCACCGCAATCGTCTTTGTGATTACACTTGAGCGAAGCGTCGATACACTTCTGCCCATTGGCACAACGAAACTGATCCAAACGACATGAGATGCCTGTGCAGCCCTCCTCGTCGCGTCCATTGCGACAGTCCAGATAGCCATCGCAACGTTTCTCCTTCGGCACGCACGGACCGGACAAGCGACTACCGTCCGAGGGCGCCAAACCACCAGGCGCATTGCAGAATACATCGCTCGACTGACATTTTCTATAAGCTGTTCAGTGGAGGGAGCCCCAAGAACAATCGAGTGTGGGAGTGGATGGCGATGGCGAGATGTTTCGTGATGGTAAAGATGAACGACGTCGATGTTGGTTGCATGGCAATGGCGTCGGCGTAGGAAAATTTATGTTGACAGCCAGCAGAGACCGATGCACACGCAAGCAGACAGCGGAAGTGCAAAGCATTTCGCAGAGAAATTGGAAACGGAGATATATTGACGGCAATTGAATTGGTGTGTGATGATGCGGGTGTGGTGTGCGTGAATTCGACCAGCATCAATAGGGTAATGTAGTTGTCAATACCGTTGGCAGCACCCACACATACACAAATACAACATAGGTTGAGCGATGGACGATGATGGCCATAAAGAACAGGCAGATTGCGTAGGCAACAAAACGGAAAATTGCAGCATCATCAAAGGCGGCAAAGCAATGAGGCGGTGACGATGGCGACAAAGTTGATTCATTTCATCAGTTCCAGTTGTTAGACGTCGGTACATAGAAGCAGCCACAAAAGTAAGGCACCATGGCAGCATACAAAGGCAAAACGTTGGTCCAAGCAAACGATGATTTAATAGCAATGAAAAGAGAAAAAAAACGGAGAAAAGGGAAATAAGAATTAGCAAATCGAATTGAATTTTTTCAAGCGGTAAACTTCTTTAAATTTTAGTTTTTTTGTTTCTACCAAAATACTTCGTGCCACTCTTGAAAAATGTTAAAATAATTGCGTTTAGAGATTTTAAAATATAGGAGAATAAAGCTAGATAAGGAGACCATCTGATCCATATACCGGTCTAACTGAAACGCTTTTTTCCAGGCCTTGGACCAAAAAAAAAAACACATATTTGCAAAGTTATTTTTGTCGCGCTATCTGTCAGGATTACAAGAGAACCGTTCCAACCAGCAGTTTTTAAATAAGAAATCTGAAAATTAGAACCTCAATGATTAAAATTTTTTTTTTTTAAGTCTCAATACGACCCTTTTTCACCACCGCCGTGGTAAAGGCTACTGCTTCTGGTTCTGAGATGGCGGTTCGAGTCCGGTTGTAGGTGGTTAGAGTTAGGTAATATTTGCTTGGAGTAATATACTTTTTTCCTAGCATCAAGGAATGTTTTTTCTGAGTGTAGGAGGTAAAGCCAAGCCAACGATTTTATCCTTAACTATCGCAACCAGATAAATCTTCGTGGACCCCCACTTACAATTCGTGAACACCCAT